CAGTACAGTTCAGTGGACTGAATAGACATGTGCAGCCAGTGTAAGTAGTGTGTACTGTGTGTGTTGTATGTGTGCTGTGCATGTATTATGTGTTGTGTGTGTGCTGTGTGGATACAATTAAGCCTGTGACACACTACACGAGGAGCCGTGCACAGCAAAGGAAATCGGTGGTGGGCAGAGCTTCACATGCAGTGTGTCTAGCAATATCCTCTCCCGCGCCCAGCTAGGAGAGAGCTGAGCGTGGTGAGATGAAACATTTTATCTCTAGCCAACCTGCTCGTACGTATGAATCCGCACCTCAGGATGCGGATTCAAGTGTGCAGCCTATCTTATTCCCCCAGGCAAAAGCGTCTGTTGAGGAGGCCAGGAGAAAAGTCTGCTTCAAACACTGTTGGTTATATTATGACTTGTGTCCATGAGATTCAGTGAGAAAAAATCTTCTGTCTTGCTTTCTCAACATGTTCTCAGTGCCATTCAAACCCAAATCACAACAGCTGAGGATGTTAGGATGCAGCTGTTTTGATTTGGGTTTGAATGGTGCTGGGTGTCTATGGCCCTATATTGCAGTGAGTAGTGTTTGTATGGGAGGGATTATATGAGACCCAGTAACGTAGTCTAGATTGAGGATGAGCACTCAATTTGTGACCTGCTTCTATTAAATGGTAGTATGTTGTATCAAATTCCAGGCACTTTGCAATGATTTCCCCAGTGGGATTTTGAGGCCATCAGCACTTGGGAGAACAAATTAGTGGAGTAGGATCGTGATTCTGCTTAAAGCTTCTTAAAACCTATTATTGCAATATGTTGCTTAGGTCATTCTTTTCTTGTCCCTCCCAGTCCGCACCAGTGATCCGTTTTGGTGTGTGTGAAAGCCACAATTTTAAGGCAGATATATTAGCAGTTATAGATAAAAGCTATATCCTATACTTGAAATTATGTGTAAATAATGTTCATGGAATATTTTTATGTATATTAATGATTATGGTCTATTTTAGAACAATATAGCCTACTCCTGAGGAAGCAGGTCACTGTAAAACGCGTTGAGACAATAAGACACTATCTTCTTAATCTCAGTAACAAGTCATAATATAACCAACAGTGTTTGAAGCCCTTGAATATTATATAAGGACAATTAATAATAATACTATAAGAGACTGTGAGGAGATTAGGTTATTGAGTGTATATGTATACATTTTAAATGTTTTGTTTTACTGTATGGTTATAACGATGTCATGATTTTACTTTTTTGATTTTATTTTTTGTATTGTGTAAGTTTGATTCCTGCGGTACATTAAATGTCTGTTTTAAACTTCTTCTTTGATTAATCTTCAAATCCCTAATACCTCCTCAACTCCAAGACCTCTCATGACTTTAGATACACCCAAAAAGCCTTTGACTCCATTGAATGACCCTGCCTTATTGATATACTCAAACATTTTGGTCTCACTTTCATCACTTGGATGCAAATTCTTTATACCCAACCCTTAGCCTGTTTTAGGGTAAACAATAAGCTATCAGATCATCCTCTTATACAGTGGTGAACAACACAGGGCGGTCCTCACTCCCCACTCCTTTTTGCCAATGCCATAGAACCATTAGCCAAGATCATAAGATGAACTCCACTGATTGAGGGCGTTAAAGTTGTACCAACTTTAACACCCTCAATCAGTGGAGTTTGTCTTATAATCTTGGCTAATGTACCATTAGAAGAAAGAGTTTCTTAATTTGCAATTGCAATTGATATGGTAATATATCTCACTGACCCACAGACTCCGTAAATAAGATCCAGACAGTGATTTAGAACTTTAAAGTTTACTCCTACTTTAAGGTCAACTGGGGAAAATTAATTGTCTTCTCCTTGGAGAATTTGACTGACTTGGGGTTGCTTGGCAGTTGGCCACTAAAATTGGCTGAAATTTTTAGATATTTAGGAATAGGGGCAATTGTATTTCTATCAAAATATGCGGACAAAAACCTACTTCCGTTCAAAACCTTTAAACATAACATAGCTGTCTGGTTAGGACTTCACCTTACTCTCCCCGGATTCATTTATTTAAAATTATATTCCTTCCAAGACTTTTGTATATAATTTCCAATTCTTCGCCTATATTCACACGTGTATTTTTCAGGAACCTTGATATCTTAATACTTTTGGCACCCTAAGTCCCCCAGGTTCTATCTCTCCATTTGCAGCTCCCCTCTACCCAAGGGGGCCTGGAATTACTAGACCTACAGAGCTACCACTATGACTCCCAGTTGGTAAACCTACATTAGTGGTTATTTCCACAGCTAAATAATGCAGCATCAGCTATGGAGGCAACGGTAGTCTCTTCCTATGAGGTCCTTTACAACTTAAAAACTAGTCAAACTCCACATAATACTAAACATATTTTAATTCCAATAATATCATTGAAAATTTCTACACCAATTCCTTCAAATGTTCCAAGGTATAGTCCAAATCACCTCTGCTAATAATCATCGTTGATATATACCAGAACTAGTTCATTTTATACCCGTTCCTAGTGGCCCCCATTGGGCCCAAGTGGGAATGAAATATCTTCATCAATTGTACTCTCCAGGGTCATTTAGGTAATTTTCTTTATGAAAACAGGGACTGGGAATATCTGATGCGTGATATTTTTTAGATTTCCAATTCAAGCATTCAGCCGAAGCTCAATTACGGTTACAGAATTTTATGCTTCAACCCTCTTTGTTCAAGCGTGTCGACCTGTGCACACATAACTAATTTCCAGATTACACACTACCCTTAGGTAGTGCATAATCTGAGGAATAATCTGAGGGCTTCAGAGGAAGCCCTCTAGTACTGTATACCCTGCATTTGAGGAACAATGGAGTAGAGATACCCCTGATATAATGTAACACCACTAGCAAGAATTCTCCCATTCCTTTTTTAACGCCATCATACCCACTAGATAAAAACTCGTTCAACTGTGATATTTTCACAGAGCATATCATACCTTTGCTAGACTGTTTTAAAATGTGTAAACGAGACACCCCTACCTGTCATAAATGCCAGTTACTAGTACGAGACATCCTGCATATGGTATGGACTTTTAACAAAATTAGACCATTCTGGTCCAGGTTACTGACTTAATCTCTCAGAATTTTAATGTCCCCAATATTTGCAATCCAATATGGTGTTTAGTCCATAACTTTGTGGTCCCTAATCTTAGTGTATCCAAGAAAGCCTATTTTTCTATGTAAGGAAAACCATATCATTGAAATAGACCTCTACTAGATAATTAGGCCTCAGCCTATGGAAATGACTGGTTAACAAAGTATTGCCCCTCTATAGAACAACCTACGAAGCCCGAGGATTCCCCACTAAATTTGATAAAATAAGAAGA